TATTGTGGGGTTTTATGAAAAAAGCTCACCGGCAGCACAGACGCGTTCGCGTGTTGTTGACGTCACTATGGTATGACGTCAAAGCGGAGAGAGGGGCGAACAAACGCCAGCGTTGCCATTACTTGCCATTACTTCCATGCATTATGTACTGCGAGGGGTTATCGTACTCTAACTTCACTATTTAGTTCGTAGTGGTGGTGTAAGTAGGAATTGAATCAAGAACGGACTCGTAGGAATCTAATTCAGCTTGAATGTGCACTCCTAAGGGTTTACAAATGAAGGCATTGACTCTTTGTTTCATTACTGATAATGCCCTACAAACCGAATGATACGTGCCCAAAAACTCCTATTGTCTGGAACGAGGATGGTATCTATACGTAATACACTCAATTCACTTCCCGCACTATTGATTGCATAGGTTGGTAAAGTGCCATTAACCTCGTTACTGTTCCAGCGAGGTGTTAGCTGGCGTCCTTTCGTCGCTCCTGTCGCAGCTGTGACGTCACCAGCACGCGCTCGCATCCGCGCCGCCAGTGAGTTTTCTCACCGCCCCGATTGTGGCACCACTTTCATTGGTCTGTTGACCCTTGCTTTATGCGATGAAATACTGTGGAACTGGTCTGGGTGTGGACATTATTCGTATTACAGACAAGATTTTATTACTCTTTTGTTATGATTATAGAGGTACATCATAAAGGCAAGAAGAATAATTATGAAGGCATTTGATTGATAAATTCAAGAACAAACGTAAATCTGTGCGATTTCATTTAGAATTTACATGGAATGAGATGTTGTAGGCGGAAGAGAGCGATGGAATGCAGACGATGAGGGCGTCCGTTGTGAGGAGCGAAGCTGGCGAGCGACATGGTTCGCTTTATGCACTGATTACAGTTATGTAGGCCTTCGAAGATGATCCGGTCCACTGCAACCGTGTGCCATGCTATGCAGAAAAGAGCAGCTGCTGGTTGGCGCTCGACTAGGCTAGTCCATTTTGTTGATCCACTATTCGGAACGCTTCCAACAACTCGTTGAGATCGATGAAACCATCCTTGTTGAAGTCGATGCTTTCGGCAATTTCGGCTACATAGTCGGCTGACAGCGATCGCTTTGTGTACTTTCCCAGCACCTTAAGATCAATGATGATATTTTGTTCTCCGGGCAGAAAACCAGTGCTGGATATGGATTGCAGTTTTTTATCTTCAACAAGAAAGCAGCGGCAGAAAGTTTCTGGATGGAATACAGTAGTAATGGCACATATGTATCCTGACCTAATTTGTTGAGGACAAAGAGAAGGGGAAATTTCACTTCAAAAATATGGGGTGCGTTGCAGTTCTCCTCCAGAGGTCAGTTCACCCCAGAAAAAGACACATCTGATTTGCTCGTTATAAGTCTGGGACTAACCATAAGCACAAGCCTAATTATAGGTTTCACAAGTAATGCTGGGTTGTGAACAAAACTTTCGCCCCAGGCGGGACTAGAACCCGCACCTCTCGGTTCTAGTCCCGCCTGGGGCGAAAGTTTTGTTCACAACCCAGCATTCTTGTGAAACATTCGCAAGGCGAACTGCGGCCAAAAACAGCAGTTAACAAACAAAAACAAGTTCTCATTATAGGCTTTCGCATAAGCAAGTGTGCATTCATAAGCCTCAGCCTGAGCTGCCTAGCCTAGCCTTAGGCTTCAATCTTCGTGCAGCTCTGGTGACCTGACCTTGGGGGAGAACTGAACATCTCCCAACAATATGTGGGATGGGATGATAAGTGTGGATAGTTGGGGATTAGATGGTAGGAAGCGTGGAGCCATTGATATCTATCACCATGCGAAAAAGAGGATACATTAAAGCGTTACCAAATCTATGCACTATCGTATATACGGGAACATTGCAGTGGCAATTGCATTGGAAACCACGTAAAGCATCTCCTTTCTGTTAACTACGAGAACAAGCCTTCAGGCGGGGGAGGGACTCCAGGGTGCGTGAGCAGTTTTCATTTTCTCCGAAGTTCTGCCCCTCCTAGGCCCCATAGTGCGGATACCCTCGTATCTTGCAATAGCGCCATTTGATCCTTTCCAGAAGATATGAAGGGGTACAAGAGGTCAATGTTAGAACTAAAAAATTGTCACTGGCAAACGAAAGACAAAGTAGGCATGGAAAACTGTCACAATGCAATATGAAATGCCGACATAAATCACACCCATACCTGAATTGCGGTCGATGAATTCCTGCATCGACACTTGTCCGGAGTTGTCCTTGTCCATGAATCGGAACAACGTCTCCAAAGTACTCTTATGTCTGTACAAGGACTCGACCACATCACGAATCATCATTATATGAACAGGAATGAAATGTGAAGACGAATTCGTGATCCAATCAGAACGGGAGCAATTTCGTGCACCCCAATTTTGAAGCCCGGTACGGGATAAGTCGTCTAAAGAGAATAATGAAGTGAGAAAGAAACGGAATCTCAAGCCACCTGGCGCGACAGTTTAGCTCCCGAGCCGTAAAGTGCGCTGGCAGGGATGCGCGATGATTTGCACTTATAGTGCTACGTGCTGGCGCATTGCGTTCCGAATGTGCGGTAGCAGCCCTCAGGTCGGACACAGGTGCTCTGCTCGGGCGGTTTTCCCCCTCCGTCGCCTACTCATCGTGCCTCGCTGTCATTACGACCTACCTTACCAGGGAAATTCAGTGCTTTCCATGGTGCTTCTTGCTTTTTCTGCCCACTCACGGTCTCCATCCGCCGCACCTACTCGTCTAACTTTCCATTGACATTTTTCCAGTTCCGATCCCAATCCATTCCGAAGGCATGCCCCATGAAAAATTAATGGGTATTAGCGCTCAACAATGAAGGGGGAAGGCTATAGAGAGGGCTAAAAAATGACAATAAAAATGAAAGATAACCACCGAAAACCCTAAAAGGGCTCAAACGTTCTCTGAGGTTGGCGCGATTTGGAAAATATGACGAGACAAATTTAATTAGAGCAATATGAACACCGTGAGAGAGGACAGAAAAAAGGGGCCACAGAAACCAGCAACATGTTAGCGAGCTCCAATAACCACAAGACCCAATCGGACACGACGAACTGGGAATGGCGGGACATTTGAAGATTCACTTGCGGCACCCTCGACGCGATCTTTGAGTCGGGAGATGTCAAGCTTGAGCGATACAGGATGAATTCGCACAACAGGTGCTAGTCTACTACCAGAAGTGTGACGCATTCACGAAGCCTGTTGCCAGGACCCTGCTAGATTAAGGGGCTGGGACAACCTAGAGAGAACACTGGACAAGCGGCGAAGATCAGTTGTAGTTTTCGCTGATCCCTTATAGTGGCGATGGCGGCGGGGTCTGATCTGGCGGGATGCTCAACGCTCTAGGGTTAACGGAGTTGATGCTCCGATCGCTGAACTGGTCCGAGGTGTAGGATCAAGAAATGCTGACGGGAACGGCAACTGTCAGCGCTGGGCTCAGTGAAACTGAAGAGTGGGTAGGAAGTCGACAAATACGTGGTTGGGCTTTTCCGACGAGGAACGACGGGGCCAGTATGCCTTGTAAAGCCACGGATGGCCCGTCTTGGTGAAAGTGGTTGCACATATTGTGGCACGAAGAAAGCTCGGCAACGGGGGAGAGACGCAGTCACCTTTTGGACCACAGTTCGCACCCAATATGGTGACTGAAGATGACGACTGAAAAATCTCGCTTTCTTAATGTATATTTGTAGCGAGTTCGGAATGTATAGAAGGGAGAGATACATATCCGCAACATGAGAGGGCGTGACACATTGATGAGAGGCGACAAGAAGGGGATTGCATATGCAGAATGTATTGTAAACAATTTTAATACGGTTTGGCTCACTGAAATGGGGCATAGGGCAGGCGAGAGTAAGCAAACCAGCACCTTTTGGCGCTTTAGCGGCGACGGGTGGCTGAGGTCGTGAACTCGGTTGGTACGATAGGAGAGTACTGACGCATGTGGTGCAGCTGAGTCCAGCAGCTCGCCAGAAGGGCTGGTTTGCTCACCCCAGGACTAAGCCTTGGAGGAGGGGACGGACCCGTCCTCTCTTTAAGGCTTAGTTCTGAGGTGAGCATCCAACTTTGTAGGCGTTAGATCTATACGAAGGACCGGAGTATGAAGTAGGTCCAATCCGCAGTCGGGGGACTCCGGTCCCGCTCGCGCGGGATGGAGCAGGATGACGGTCCAGCCGAAGCGCCGAAACAGGGTGGTTGGCTTACGTCAGGCGGCAGCAGCCCGATCGTAATATATAATAGAATGGGTCAACAATCTGGTAATCGCAACTGCCCGCAATCAAACACCCTCACCTCTCTTCACTTTCTTCTTTTTTGAACATGACGTGATAGTGTACAGTCTCCCTTCTAACGAAACCAAACGTAACGCATTTTCAAAATTACTCAAACCACCCATCACGGTAGCCCATCTTTACATTGAATTCTTATGGGATTGTGGCATGCTGAATCTAGCGGCCGGGAGACAATCTAGTCGACAAGGAAAATGGTATGGACCACTCGCTTTAGCAAGCACGGAGCTACTTCACATAGAAATGGCGGAGATTCGAGGGTTATGTCTATCACCAGGACAAATATCCAATACAGAAACCCAATCTCCTTCCTGTGGGATTCGGAATTCCGTAAAGCATAACGAGAAAATTGTAAAGCCCATTCGGAAACTGAAGATATGAGGTTGGAAAGAAAGTTCTGCAACACTCTTTCTAAAATTTTCTTTTTTTCTGAAAAATTCATAGGTAACATTTATGACTAACAAATGGTAGAGCATTCTCGAGGCTTCAATCCACGAGGTGGATATAAGTGCTGCAGTCAGTAGTTATCCAAGAAAATTCAAAAAACCTCGACCACTAGTAAATCCATACTCCGAGTCACTGTCTAGTACAAATGTCTCCATAACTATGGATTCGTGTCAACGACCAACACTATCTGCAATAGCTTCAATAGGCATGTCCGTTCACCGCTACAGCGTGTTTCACCTTTACCAGCGCTTTCGATCTTTTGATATTTTTATAAGAAGCCAGCAGCGTCCCACACTCCATTACAGGTAGGGCTCTTACGGAAGCTCCACTACAAATTCTTCGTTATGGGCACCATTGTGTAGGTAGAGGTCTAGGCTGCGGAACTCCAGAAGCTGGCCGAGGCAGCTCGTCAGGAGCCCTCGTACCGCGACAATATTTATTTCTTTCATGACATTGCGAATCACCATGATCCGAAATGAGCCCGGTAAGAAATTCTGGAGCTGCGGCAAGATTTCTTACCTCTTTAGCGTATTCCCCTAGGTC